CATATATATATATGTATCACAACATAACATTTTCATATCCAAACAAGTATAATGGATTCAAGTTTTAAAAAAATCAAACTCACCATAGCAGCCATTGCGATAGGAAATGAGCGAGACCCATTGGTATGATTGTACGGCAATTGACTCCTATTACTCTTCCCAGCTTTTGACCGTTTCTAAAAATAAGACAAGCAGATAAACAACTTTTTGGTAAATATTAAGGCATATCACATTTTCACATAGATGTATGTACTCTATGTAGTCTATTAGTTTACCTGGTGAGATGCATCTTGCCATGCCACATCGATCAAATGTTTCCAATCATCTAAACTCACCCCTATGGGCGGATGAGCATAGATCTCATCATGTGGAAGTCCTTCTGACAATTCGAATTCTTGCTTCAAGGTGTACCTCCAATCTTTGTACAACCCATAGGCCTTCTTATTCACAATCTCTTGTGCTTGTAAGTCATTGTGGAAATCGTCTCCAATTTGAAACTTGTCCTACAAGCATAACAAATTGAAATTGTAATCATTAAATAATAGTCTTTCTTATTAGCATACATAATACAATTACATCTTGTGGACAAGTAATATTAGTTACAAGAACAGCTTGGATGACGGCAGCTTTTGTAGTCTCATCAAGATCTAGCCATGACTTCACATCTTTCAAAGGGCACAAGGTTCTAATTTGAATTCCTAACTCGTTAGTTGCTGGAGTGGCATACTTGCCAGTCATTGCATTCAACCCCCGATCGACGTGAACATAACATTTTCCCCTTTTCTTGGCTCTAATTATTTTTTGTATGCCTTTGACAAGTGTCGGTCCACGTACACGTAGGGGCTTCGAAGTCCCTGTTAACAAAATAACAACACGAAAATTGGCTACAAAAAAACAATGGCAATGGCAAATGATAATTGACAAATTTGTTACACTTTAATCTTACCTACGCCACTCGGCTGGGTTTCGGATGGGGCTTGTGTCTCATCAGAATCAACCATTGGTTGGCTAGTGACATGATGAGATATTCCCACATTTGATTGGAAGGGGAGAACAGGAGACGGAGCAACAGGTGATCCTAAAGGAATAGCAGCTGGCGAGTTTGTTTCTGGCTGCGTGAGTGTCTTCTTCCGAAGCCGACCAGTCTTTAAGCCAGGAACCATTTTTCAATCTACAAAACATTACAAAACTTACGAACATGGAGAAACTTTCTGATACATGTGAAAACTTGCATTGTAAATCTTATAATGCTATATCTTTTGCAAATAATTGTGAAACTATGGTTCTAAATATCAACACCAGGATCACATCTATTAGGAATCAAGATGTTACACATCATTTGTAGAGCCATTGTGTCAGCTGATACAGAATGACATTCAAATGTGATGAATTCTAAATTTGTGAAGTACTGCTGTCGGATAGTTGATACTTAGATAATAGTCTCATTAACAAAAAGATAAAAAACCAACTTCAACATCTAAGTTGATCAATTCCATTGTCAAGTAACTTAATTTTTATTATCAGTAACACTCATTACAGAAGTAAACTTAATCATCAAAAGGAACATGCTTATCAAAAAATCATCACCAGAAGATTTGCAGGGTTCATATATAATAGTTCAAGTAAACAAACAATGATGAGCCCCAAACATATTCCACATTGATGAACTTACGAATCAAATTTCATATTTGACATGAAATACACACAACACATGATGTTAAATTACAAGAAACAAACAACCTAAAAGCATAGCCTTTACCTGCATATGAGTTAAGCTGGTCCAAGTGAAGTATATATAGCCATTTAGGAATATCAAGATTGAAATGTATACCTGCAATATTCTGTATTCAAATAGTTCAATATTAGAGAAGATCAATTTATGTTGTGGTGCTATAGATCAAGTTATCAAATTAGATACACCTTAATCTTTTTCTAATTATCTATCTGAACAAAGAAGAAGAATATGTAGATATATATATATATATATATAGAGAGAGAGAGAGAGCAGAGAATAATAATAAGTCACATTTATATTAATCTCAAACCCATTAGTTACTGGTTGAAACCAGAGAGACGAAAAATACATTTCTTGATGCCCTCAAGATACCTAATAAATTCAACAAAAGATGCATGGAATGCAACTTTGGTTAGAACCTGATAAAGGTTAACTACTTTAGAAGTGTTACTGCAACTAACCAGTGCTAAACTTTAATGAAACTCAATTCAGTTTCACAAACTTAAGAACCAATGAGACAAACACCAAGCATACAAAATGGATTTAGCTAAATTGAAGTATAACCACCCAAATGTTCCCACCAATACTAAAATGAAAAGTATAAAATGTAGATATGCCAGATGAGAGAGAAAAAGATGAGAAAGAATTAGAATGAACTAAGACTGCAAACCCCACTTAGTCTTAGTATGAATTCATTTGTTGTTTCTTAGTATATAGACTACAAACTCCACTTATGCCAGATTTAGGGCTTCATCTTTTCATAATAGAAATCTGAAACCCAAATAACAACCATGATGCCTAAAATTAAGGGTGCCAAATCTTAAAAGACATAGATAAAGCTCAGTTATGAAATGTGTTGTTTACACTCAGGCACCTCTAAAGTTCCCAAAAGACTAATATAACATCATTAATCTTATTATTTTTACACATAATGATCAAAAAAGTATTCGCTCAAACAAACTTAGTATCGATTCACACATATATTAGATAGTTCATAATATGTACTTTGTTCGATCCTAAAAGCCCAGCTTCCTCGTTTTCTCCACATTTTGAAGATTTCAAATCCAACATCTTATATTCCTAACCCATGATAGATTCTGAAGCTCATCCTTGAGCACCAAAACCCATATTATCTTGATAAGTATTCTAACAATCAGCATTCTTATGGAAATTCGAAATCTAGGCACATGCAAGTGGGAAAAGAGCACGATACCCCTGTTAAAGCCTAAAATTTCCGCAATTAAGGATCCTCATAAGGATACCAAGAACAAGAAAATAAAATCAGCAACTTACTAGGGTTTGTTGGATGAAAACAGATGGATTTCAGACTTCCTCTGTGCCCTAATAGTGTTGCAATACAGTTCTTTTCTTGTGCGTCCCACACCTTTATCTGTTCACAAGCAAAAGAAATATGTAATTGACCAATAAGCATGGAATGATTATAAACTAAATGCAAGTTGTTTGCAGATTATAATTTTAGCTTCTTGCTAATTTTACTGATGTGTTTTCGTTTTGAATAACATGAAGCCTTATACTGTAGCAAGACTATTCAACATAGGTTTTTTTGTCACTTACACTGTGATCACCTGAAGCTCTTAGAATATTAGCATCTTCCTGCACAAATTCAAACCATAACTAATGTTAGAAAATTACAAAAGGAGGCCAAAAAGGAGCAAGATTATTCAACATAGGTTTTTTTTTGTATCTTCGCTATTGATTGCCGCCATTTATGCATAGCATTCTAATCAACCCTGAGAAAGAAATATCATTCGGGCTATCCCAGTGAAATTTTAAAATACCAGTGATGTGGAGAATATAAGATAAGGGTATAGTGACAAACTTAGAAACATAGCATCCAATCCAGTGTTTTGGATGGTCCTAGAAGCAGGAACTGACAATTGATTGAATAGAAACAGGAGGAAATAGTTAATGTACAAATAGTCTTTTGAGTGTTGATCCAGTGTTGATCCATTTTGAACCATTTTTTGGATTTCATGGTCTTTTGAGTAAATAGTTAATGTATAAATACGTGTGTTGTTTTTATTTGTTATAGTGCTTTTCTTCTTGTGTATATGGGTGACACCCCCTTGGTGCCTTCTTTCTAATATAATTTTACTCATCAAAAAATAATAACAATAATTATTAAAACTGTACCATGTAGGCATTACATACACCTAGACATAATGCCAATGAGAACCTATGAAACTTAGATCCTGTATAGCAAGCATACATTCCATGCATGTCCTTTGCGTAAGCTTGTCCATGAGATTGGTGTGAGGAGGGTGAGGGCTGTGAGGCCTCTCTTTTAGAAGGGGCATGGGATTAAAGTTTCACTAAGCATAGGACATTTTTGACAGTAATATAACTACTTAAAAAGTAGCTTACTTTTGCAAATTGTGCTGATTTATTTGTGAACAATTGGAGTAGAATAGTAGAACTAGAGCCGTAATTGGAAATCTGGAATATATCATGCCATTCACAAGGCTGGGATGGCCAGCTTGATCCAAGTAGAAGGTGCCCTTAAAAGAACTAGAATAGGGGTGAAGTAGGCTACCTAAACTCTCGTTGAAATTTTAGCTTGATGATGCATTTTTATATGATCTTGTGAGGACATAAATGGCGTGGCGTAGTATAAAATCCACTTATCCTGATCCCTCCTAAACCTGTTTCAGGTTACATTCATATTTCCTTTCACTGGTTTTACCTATCCCATCCTGGCATCCTGTTTTTGGGTCAAATGCTATCCCTAATGATAGAATAGGCCTTTTTCATGCTCCATTCATACCTCATGGTCATTATTTTCTTTATGAGTACTTGAAATTAGAAAACATATATAATATCTCCTTTATGAAATTGTATCACACCAATCTCATGTCTAACATTCTAGGTGTTTGGTTTGCATTATCCTTGTTCCTTTGTCATGTGTTTTCCTGGAAAAATGATTTATTTATATATTATGTTGGTGTTTCAGAGGGATATTTGTTGCTAGACTAATGGGTTTTGGAATTTTTAGTTTTCTCTTCTAATTGCATGGCTTGACCATTAATCACAATGCAAATTGACAGCTTTGGAAGAAAGTAAAGGCGTAGGATATCATTCTATCATACCTGATGCTCTAGGAGCAGAATCGCATCCCTTAACCAAGGCATTTGGAGAAAAAGTTGGTGATTATGTAGTGCAATATTTTGAAGCTATGGAGAAGGTGATTGATGCCCTACTTGCCAATCTTGTGTTCTTGCATGCAATTGACCTGGAATATTGCTTTACAAGGAGGACCAACTTTCTTGTTCAGTAGTTATGAAGACTTCAGCTGGACTAGTATATCTTCTTGCATGTCTGTTAGAACCTTTTATGCCATCCTTTTCCATTGAGGTATTCACTGCCTGTGGCTCCATATAACATTTTTGGAATTTTTGGGACATGTTATTTTCATCAATGCTTCTATGCTTTTGCCTCGAATGCCAATACAGGTATTTAAGCAGCTCAATTTGCCTCCTGAAATGCAAGTTTTGCTTTCTGATGAAAATGGAGATATTGAAAGGGCAAAGAGACCCTGGGAGTTTCTACCTGCTGGTCACAAAATTGGAATACCAGAGCCATTGTTTAAGGAACTGGTATATATGTTGTTATTTGCGTCATATGTTGTGTATTAGCTATTGTTTCATGGATTTGGTTGATAACATACTTATTTGGTGTGAATTTGGGGTGTGCAGAAAGATGAAGAAGTGGAGTTCTTTAGGCAGAAGTTTCTAACCATTTTCTATGTTTCCCTAGCAACTAACATGGAAGTAAATGATTTAACATTCATACTTTTGTTTGAATGCTTTCTCTCCCATTGTCAGTCACCCGTATACATGAGTCGATTATTGCGCTTCTAATAGGATCCTGGGATTAGAAATAACGTCTTTCATTAAGATATCATTCACACCAAATTTGGTACTTGTGTAAAATGTGGGAAGTCAAAAACATAATATAAAACCTTAAAATATTGTAAGAAATCCACTTGCAATAGCTGTGGACAAGTGTGGATTACTTATCCATATGTTTAAAAATGAAGACAATTTATCATTCATTTTAGCCACCTGTTGACATTCTTGGATCCCTGTAATGACAGAAATCATTCACACTCCAAAAATGTTAGCCATTCAAATGGCTAATTCCACACAGAAGAGCAAACATTTTAGCCTGCTTTTGGACTTGGTGTTGGTCCAAACAAGTTGCCAAACAGTTTGTCTAACCAGTAACCACCAGTTCAGCATCTTTTCTTGTGCATGCATTGATGAATAACACAGTTTATCATATTGCACTGGAAGAAACCAAAATGCATGAGGGATTTGCACACAAAATGTTGATTACAGATAGAAGGCAAAAGAGGTTACAAAATTAGCCAAACATAACAAGCCCCTCTAATTAACATTTGCATCCAAAGAGAGATTCTCAAACAAATCAAGTGTCAGCTTAGCACACAACAGTCCACATCTTAAGAAACTACTTTATGTATTCATTTCTAATTACCCCAAGAGAACACACTTTCTAATTGATTTCCATTGTACGCGGTGTCACCAACCAATAGAAAACAAGAAGTGCCCCAGCCCAAGTGGTCAGATGCCTGCTTGGCCTCCTCATCTGTGGAGGTGACTACTAACTCACTGATGTATTTCCAAAAAAAGAAGAAAAAAAAAAAATACAAAACCACAAATGGGATTAGATGGACATCCCCCCTCTTCTCCCACTAGCTTAACCATATAGTCCTCATCATCGGAATATGATATTGATACCCACTTATCACTGTCATTGTACCTAATTTTAATGTACATAAAGGATGGCAAAACTCACAAGACATCATCCTTGCACAGTTGCATGTGAGACAACAACCAAATTCAAATAAAGACACCCCCAAAATCTGCTAGCAAGTTGTCTAAAAAGACATTTTGAAAAAGAAAAGGAAGTCGGTACTATGTCATTACCATGTTTTCTGATGGGAGTTATTATTGTACAACAAGACTTCCTAATTGTTACCCAGAATTTTTTACACTGGATATGCTTTATGATACACAAAATAAGCCCCAAGTAAAATTCACAAATAAAAGCATCCCCAATTCAAACTGACAAAATCAATAAATTTCTTTTACACAAACAAACAAACACAAAGATGATCATACATACATACATACACACAAAATGCATACCTATGTAAAAACATGGGTGAATTACACTTTGCCCCCTTTATGTTTGGCCATTTTCCCACTTTGACCCTTAACGTTTTTTTCCCTCACTTTGGCGCTTCATGTTTTAAATTTTTTCCTAAAACTAGCTTTTGTTCAAAATTAGACAAAAAAAGTTGGTGATTAAACTAAAGCAAGGATTGAAGATTGCATGGTTTGACCTTTAATTACAATGCATGGTTTGGCTAGTTATGAAGACTTCAGCTGGACTAGTATATCTTCTTGCATGTCTGTTAGAACCTTTTGTGCCATCCTTTTCCATTGAGGTATTCACTGCCTGTGGCTCCATATAACATATTTGGAATTTGTGTGATATGTTATTTTTATCAATGCCTATATGCTTTTGCCTCGAATGCCAATACAGGTATTTAAGCAGCTCAATTTGCCTCCTGAAATACAAGTTCTGGTTCTGATGAAAATGGAGATATTGAAAGGGCAAAGAGACGCTGCGGGTTTCTACCTGCTGGTCACAAAATTGGAATACCAGAGCCATTGTTTAAGGAACTGGTATATATTTTTTCAATTCTGCATCATATGTTGTGTTTTAGCTATTGTTTCATGGATTTGGTTGATAACCTACTTATTTGGTGTGAATTTGGGGTGTGCAGAAAGATGAAGAAGTGGAGTTCTTTAGGCAGAAGTTTCTAACCTTTTTCTATGTTTCCCTAGCAACTAACATGGAAGTGTACAAATTGTGGTGGACATATGGTCCCCCACCTGCTTCTTGAGCCTCAAATAATATGCTTACTTGTGGCTTTGCATCATTGGTTTTGCCCAAAATGTTCCTCTATTCATTCACATTAGCCCCTCATGTCTTCCTACAAATGACATGTAAGAGGTTAAAAGATTAAAAGAGAGAGAGAGAAAGAAAA